TAGCCGCTCGCTGGTTTCACAGGCGCCTTCTCTTCTGCCGGGATTTTCTTGTCTCTAAAGCGCTCGCATCGAATCATCGTCGCTTGCTTCTATCATCCAGCTCCCCTGACGACTGTTCTGCTCTTTGTCTCCGTGCGCTCCTCGGATTCACCATAGCCCGCTTAGATCCAGCGTCTTGAGGGTTATCTCTCGATCTTCGGGTAAAGATGGCGGCCACGTGAGGGCGCCGCATCACACCGGCATGCGCAGACTGGTGCCGTGCCTCGGGACGCACCGACGCGGTGGCTAGGAAGCGCCTGAGGCGGACGCGAGCACGCCGACGCCGTCACTCCGAGCACGCACGCGACTCTACCACGCACGCGGTGGGTCCTCTTGCCCGCTGCCTACACGGTTAGACGGAGATCGTCGCGAGGCCGACAACCTCATGCCTGCGACAGCCGCACTAAGGGAGGACGAACAGCCATAACTGGCGGCAAGGATTGCATATATATTCACGGCGTAATACTATAATAATAATAATATTGGTAAACTAACTCGCCGCTGTCGATTCTACAGTTGTGTGTAGAACCTGGGCGTCGTGTGGCCGAGGGAAATGCCCTGCTACGGGATATATATAGCAATGCAAAGTATTAGAGCGTAAAGTAAAAGAAAGCGGATAATACCCTTAATACGCACTTGATACATATGCGATAAGATATCTCTTCTCGCTTCTGCCTGCTCCTTCGAAGTGCTGCTTCGTTGTTGCTGGCCGTTGCTGGTTGATGATGGCTAATGGTTAGCGTTAGGCGTCCTCTTTCGTTTCCAGGTTCGTCTCGCTGCCCTGCTAGCTGCTGCTTCGGTGTTGTGGTGCCTGCCGCTGCTGTTGTAGCTGCTGCCTTTGTTGTTCTGCGTGCTGCGCTGCGCTGCTGTCGTACGCGTTGATGCCGCTGTGGTGTTGCTGTTGCAGTGCAAATGTTGCTGCTGCTGCTGTAGATTGCTGTGTGCGTCACTAACTGTTGATTCGGTATGCATGCTATCTGCTACTAGCTGCTGGCTGTCCACTGTCTACCACGACATAACTGATAATACATTACTGCTGCTGCCGCTCGTGGGTTGGTCGGTAGTAGTGATGCTGCGGCTGCTGATGCCTGCAGGCGGCTGCTGCGGCTATGTTCTTGCTGCCTTTGCTGGCTGCTGCTGCGGCTTGCTGCTGCAGCTGCTGTGTGCTGCTGCTGCACCTGCTCTTGCTGCAGCTGCTGCTGCCCTGCTGCTGCTGGCGACGTCTGCTGTTGCTGCTGCTGCTGCTGCTGCTGCTGCTGCAGCTGCTGCTGCTGCTGCTGCTGCTGCTGCGGCTACTGTTGCTGCTGGTGGTGGTGGTAGTAGTGCTGCTACTCTTGCTGCTAGTGGTGGTAGTAGTAGTGGCGCTACGGCGCGGGTACTGCGGCTACTGTTGCTGCTGGTTGTGGTGGTAGTAGTGCTGCTACTGTTGCTGCTGCTGGTTGTGGTGGTAGTAGTGCGGTTAATTGCTGCTACTGGCTACTGCTATATGTGAATCAATGCATGACTGATCGGTTGAATGACCCCCTACTGTCACAGTCTCTCGCCCCACATAGGGCAGCCTGGAGCGCCCGTTACTTGTCATTGTGTGTGTGTGTGTGTGTGTGTGTGTGTGTGTGATGGGTGCGTGCCCGTGCGTGCGTGCGTAAGGTGCCCG